GGTTAAGCAGCTGCCTTCGGCTCAGGTCATGATCCCAGTGTCCTGGGATTGAGTCCCACATCGGGCTCCTTGCTCATCAGGGAGCCTGCTTCTCCCTCTGCCTCTGCCTGCCATTCTGTCTGCCTGTGCTTGCTCTCTCTCCCTCTCTCTCTCTGACAAATAAATAAATAAAATCTTAAAAAAAAAAAAAGAATGCAAAGAAATGTATAGAACATATTTGAATTATTTATAATAAAACTATTTATAATAATCATTTTTTAAATCAGAGTAGTCAAGAGCTAGAGTTCTTAGCAGGTTGTAATGGCAGAGCCAAGTCTGGGCCAAGAGCTAAAACTCTCAGACCAAAGAAATATTTTCAGGATTAAGTGATGAGATATAAATTAATCAGGGCTCCATGACAGGTGCTTAAGATGTGGTGATTCTTCTCTATCCACAATATTGTGTACTCTGAGGGTATTAGAATGCCAGGGCCTGTGGACTTGTTCTTATTTAGGCTCATTCTTACTACACTTGAGACTTAGGTCTATAATATAATTGCCATTTTATCGAGTTCTGATGTGTCATAAAGTGTACTAGATTTTTACATATTATTAAGATTTATATACCATTGCAATTTTTTTTTAGATGCCCCCTTTCATTTTGGTGGTTCTAAAAAACTTAAGATGGTTGGCAAACCAAAATCATGGTATGCTTTCTAACTCAATACAGATATCATAATCTACTAGTTTCTAGACACAAAGCTAGGGTTATTAGAGTGAACAAAATAAGGGGCACCTGGGTGGCTCAGTGGGTTAAAGCCTCTGCCTTTGGCTCAGGTCATGATCTCAGGGTCCTGGGATCAAGCCCCGCATCAGGCTCTCTGCTCAGTGGGGAGCCTGCGTCCCCCCCCCCACCCCTGCCTGCTTCTCTGCCTACTTGTGATCTCTGTCTGTCAAAACAACAACAACAACAACAACAACAACAAAAATCACTTTAAAAATAAATAAATAAATAAATAAATAGGCTCTTTGCTCTTACAGAGTTTAACATGTAGGAGGAGTGTGCAGACATTACCAATATCTAATATCTATTTGGCTCACTTTTCATTACTAATAGCACCTTGATTTTGTTCCAATGGGAACTGAACCAGATTCTCTTCTGCTTGGGCACTCCTGTCTTCTTAGTGATAGGTACACAGCAATATACCAACTGAAATTTCCCCAAAAGTTATTGATTCCCAGAATTGAAGGAAAAAGATCAGCTGCCGTTCGTCCTTCAGTGTTTTGCCCACCTGGACTGTGACTTCTGAAGGTTCAATGTTTAGACTGGACAATATTCTAACAAAGGAGGAGCTGGAAGGTAGATAGAACCTGGATGCTCGAAGTCATTTTTTGAGTAGCTACGGCCTTGGGCCATTACCGCAGATCTTTTTCTAACATGATAAAAATAAGTCTGTTACTTCTAAGCCACTATTTGTCAGGCGACTTGGTTCTGAATGCATTCCTAACTGATTCAACAGACATGTCACAGGATGTCAATTGAGAATTTTCTTTTGATCCAGGCTGAGTCTTTGTCAAAGACAGTATCCCAAATACACCATGGTATCAGTTCAGAGAACCTCCAGTGCTTGGAGCTAGCAACCTTCTCACAATGCTTCAGAAGAAGCCAATTTAAGGGTGCCTGGATGGCTCACTCGGTTGAATGTCTGACTCTTGATTTTAGCTCAAGTCATGATGTCTCTGCCATGATAGTGGGAAAACAGCATAAATGAACATATTCAGAACAGACAGTTGGTGAATGTGGCCCCCAGGCTATAGTTTATAGACCTCTGACTCCTGGGGATCTCTTAATCAGTCCCAATTGGAATATAGTTGAGTTGGTATGTTTAAATGTCTCAAATTGTCCTATCATTAAGAACACTGGCATTTTTTTTCAGTAATTACTTTTAAGCTGTTTTCAATTCACTCAATATTATAAAATTTTCAAATACAAAATTGCATTAAATACAATCCGTGTTCAGTATTAAAGCTAAAAAAAAAAAAAAACACCCCTCAATATGGACTCTGTTACCATGGGTACCACTTTGACTTTTAAAAATTTATTCATGGGACTTGGGTGGCTCAGTCAGTTAAGCATCTGACTCTTGATTTCAGCTCAGGTCATGATCTCAGGGTCATGAGATGGAGCCCCGTATCAGGCTCTGTGCTCTCCTCCCGGAGTCTAAGTGAGATTCTCTCCCTCTGCCCCTCCTCCCGCTTATGTGTGCATACATTCTCTCTCTCTCTCTGTCTATCTCTCAAATAAATGAATAAATCTTTTTTAAAAAAATATTTTCTTTATTTATTTGTCAGAGAGAGACCACAAGCAGGGGGAGTGGCAGGCAGAGCAGGCAGAGAGAGAAGCAGGCTCCCGGCTGAGCAAGGAGCCCGATGCAGGACTTGATCCTGGGACCATGGGATCATGACCTGAGCTAAATGCAGACGCTTAACGCCTGAGCCACCCAAGCATCCCAATAAATGAATAAATCTTAAGAAAAAGAAGTCAATGGTCTTTTTGGTCTATTAGTAACATGACATGGCCAGTTGATGTAAAGGTAGTGTTGGAAGAGAGGGAGGGTGAGCATTTCAGGAGATGCACTATTTAGGAAATGAGGCCAATCTCTTCATTCTATCACATCCAGGAAAACACCTCAAAGTCAGAGGGGTCAGTCAGAGTCCCATCTGACTGGGGACTAGAGAATTATTCAACCTGTACCCAGGGAAAAAAACGAGAAGGTCCTGATAGGCACGAGAGAACACAAAGTGCCCTATTCCTTCTCCATGATCAAATGCAGAGATGGCTGACATTCTTCTCCATCAATTCAATTCAATTCAACTCAAGCTCTGGTGCATTTAGTGGAGGGCCCCCTTGACAGGTTCAGATGGCGGCTGTTGCCAGTGATGAAATGATCGGTACGTAAGACAATGCTGCACACAAAAACTGGAAGAAGGTTGTCAACTGCCTGTAGGATTGCGGGGAGTTTCCCATAGGCCTTACAGTTGGCTCAGTCCCATGACCTCTTTAGACCCAACATTTTTCTAGGCTTTTTCAACCTCTCTGTACACATCCCAGGGACTCAGCCTACTGGGCTCTCCCTCAGGAGTTGCCACCACCTACTCCAGGCTTTTCTAAGCAAAAAGCTTGTTTTTCTCTTCCTGCTCTTGCAATTTCTAAAAGCCGCGATATGGCGGTGCCGACGCAGCGGGAAAACCTTTGCAGGGTTTTGCAACACCGGACTGCACTTTGACGGCAGCTTCTGTGTGGACCAGCGTTACAGTATAGTAGGAAGCAGAAAGCAGCACAGACCCGTGGCTAGTTTGTTCTCTGCCTCCTTCCCCAAGCAGGAGAGCTCAAGTCTGCGATTTCCCTAGCCTTCTGTTGGTCCAGGAATGCTGGCTCTGAGCTGCCTCTCGGTTACCTGCAGGGCAATTTCTAGACTCGTCTCTAGCAGGCTAAAGTAAATATGAATCCATTTGAGGGTGATTTCCCAGAGACAAGGAAAGACTTCCATATAATTCACCAAATATGTGACAGTGCCCCCCTTGCGTTGTCACACCCTGTTAATTTAACTCAATTTCCTTTGTCGGCGATCAGACAACAGAAGGTCAGCGGAAAGCCAAAAGATCAACTTAGAAGGGATGCATGTGCCCTTCGGAAACATAAGAAACACTTACCCCAACCTCTGGCAGGGGATCCTTATGTTCAGGTAGGACACTGGTTCGAACCTACAGAGAAGAACAAACATTCTCCGTGTGATTTTGAAATAGAAACCAGTGCAAAAGCTTCACACAGGTGCTGGGTGTCATTTTCCATCCCAGGCAACGATTCAAACTCTGGGGTTAATCATTACTGAAGGCACCTGGGTGTACCACCTGCTGCGGTACAGCAAAGCTGCCCTTTTATCGTCACTAAGCTTCCCGATTTTCCTAAGTAGACAGAACTGCCAGGTCCTCACCCCATCACTCCTCACCCAATACAGAGATATTTAGGCTTAAGGTGAATCACCTTTAATCTCCTCAAAAAGCAGCCCTCATTCCATATTCAAGGGGAAGGAGAGAGTTGTTATAGAGAAAGTCATTCCATGCAAGCTCAATAAATATTTATTCTCCAAATGAGCACCAAAACCCACAGTCTTTATAGGATATTCCTCCCACTTGAGAGTTCTGGGCCAAATTGTCAGATACCATTACCTAAATTCATTTGAAAACTAATTCTCAGCTGGGGGAGAGGGAAATAATGTAAAATAATCAGTCATCTGGGGAAGCTTTTCATATGTTTGAAAGTGTTCCAAGTGAAATATCAACTCCTTAGATGATAAGCAGGCATATATCTTCCACTGAGCAGTGATCCTTAATCCTGGCTGTACGTTAGAGCTACCTGGGGACCTTTCAAACTCCTGGTGCTCTCTCCTGCCCCCAGATATTGATTCTAATGTACCCCTGAGTCGATGTTTCTCTAAGAAAAAAAATGTCTCAAATGAAAAGGAATCACGACGATCTTTCTCACTTAAGGAAAAGCTAGTAAAAGCAAGAAACACCTAAAACCTAAATCTAATGTATCTTAATTTGAAGTAAGGATTAGATAAACACATTAAAGGAATACAGGGCAATAGACAAGCATACTCTGTTTAACTGGAGAGCAGAGGAAAGAGGGGATGGCTGGGAAGAGAGGAACCCTAGGCACACGTGTTCGATCAATAGTTCAGGGGGCCATTTTCACAAAATCCCTTTGGAGGTGCAACACTGCCAATCATAATTCTCTTGAAACCCTTTAAGTCCTGACATACCTGACTATACCTGGTCAATTCTCTCAGGTGGAAGGGATACTTATAATATGGCTCATAATGTCAGAAGACTTGAACTAGCTCCTTAGGGCCTGCTCATCATTAACACAGTTTCCACTTCTTGGAAAAAGCCTCAAGCCATGGGTAAAACACTGCATTTTAACTTCCAGCTTAATGCTCTTTCTTTGTGTCTTTATGACAGATCCAGCACTATCACTTGCACAATTTGTCAGTCATTATGACTCAGAATTGTTCACCAGAGCACAAAATAAATGACAGGAGAGATCCCAACAGAGTAAACAACACAATTTGCAGAACACTCTCAACTCAGGATTTCACGACAGCGCTCACTGGCTGAGAGCATTTGCAGTGTGGTAGCTGCATTAATGTTCTTTGGTCCAGAATGTTCAGACGTACCATTCAGTCTCATTATCTGAAAATCATTAGCTGGCCTCAAAAGGATGAGGAATCTACGTATCAACAGGGGAGACTGTAAAGGACCATAGAGTGTGTGCATATATATGATCTCGATCTCTCTCTCTCTCTCTCTCTCACACACACACACTATACACTTTCTGTCTCTCTCTGTTTCTCTATCTGTCTCTGTCTCTCTCTCTCTCTTTATATATGTATATCCTTATGTTTGTGTAAGACACTGGGTTCAAACCCATAGAGAAAAACAAACATTTTCTGTGTGATTTTGAAATAGAAACCAGAGAGAAAAAGAGAGTGAGAGAGAGGGAAAGAGAGGGACTAGTTTCCCCCCTTATCCACAGTTTCACTTTCCATGGTTTCATTATTACCCACAGTCAACCACCAAATATAATATAATGATACAATGTTGTGTGATATAATGATAAATAGGGTAGAATGATATTGACAATTACTGCAATATGGTCATTACATTTATATTGATTTTTATCAGTAGAACACTTATTCTTTACAAATAAACTGTTTCAGAAGAAAAAAGAGATTCTTAACACAAAGTTGTATACTATGAAAAAATCTGAAGATATCCATGGACTAGTTGGCCATTTCCAATGTGTGTACATGTGTGAAGGAGAGAGGGAGAGAGAGAGAATGAATTTCCCTTTACATAATACAAGTATTTTTAAAAACTACATGGATGTCACATTTTCCTAAATCAAGGCATGCTTAAAACTAGCAAAGATTCTGATTTAGAGGAATTGAAAAACAAAACTTTTATAAACCAATTTAAAATTTTTATAAAGTCAGATTTTCACATGCAACATTTGTTTAAGATAGTCTATATGGATAGGTCTAAAACTTTTAAATTTAAGGTCAATGCTACAGATGTGTGGTATATTGGTTACACATTGATGATGCTTTTTCTTGCATAATCTATATCCCTCATTAGAGTGAACACATACTAGGTGGCAAGCACTGGGTTTGTCAGTAAGTAAAGTCCCATTTCTTCCCTTTGGGACTTCAGAGTGAGTGGGACAAATATATGAATAAATCCGGTACAAAGTAATACATACTATTATGGAAATGTGAGCATTTTTCTGTGGGCATTCAGAGTAAGAAATAAATCAGACTGTGAATGTTAGGAGAGACTTCACAGAAGAAGTAGTCTGGGTTTTGAAGGATGAGTAGGAGCTTTAGGCAAGGAAGATCACGACAACAAAACAAACAGGGTGTTGTATAATGGGCATGTGTCATGGAGTTGCAAAATGGCATTTGTGTTTGGGAATGATTGAGTATTCTGATAACAGCATAACAGGGGTCCTTTGGGGAGATGGCAAGAGTTAAATATGTTTGGGGAGAGATGTTGGGGCCATTTGGTATCTATCATGTTATAGAAATGGGACTTTATGCAATTCATAAGTGATGGGAAATCATGCAAGACATTTGAGTAGAGGAGTGACATTATCACAGCCCCCTGAAGCATCCCAACTCTGTCCTGAGTCATAGTGGGAGAATTATTTCACCTCTTCATGCCAGTTGCCTTTTGTCTTTACGTTAGCTATCTTTAGCATAGAGTACTAACAGACCTCATAGGTTGTTGTAGAATGTCTTTTCAGCACTTGGAATAGTCACCGACGCTGAGAGGGGAAGAAAGGAGGGAGTGAAAGAAAAGGGAAGAAGAAAGAGGAAATGGGGGTTGAGGGAGAAAAAGAAAGGGGAAAGGAGGAGGGAGGAGACAGAGAAAAAGCAGAGGGTAGAGACGGCTGGAGGAATATGTCACTGGAAAAAAAAAAAAAAAAAAAAAAAGCAACAAAAAACAACCCTGGACAGATTTAGATGAGGCCTCTTGATGAGGAAGGGGTGAAGCCACGGCTGTCACTGCAACATGTGGAATATTCCAGATCACGGCAGTGTCAGGCCTCCTGAGATTTACTGGCTTTCTTTTGGAATTCATTTTCCCTTTTTTGGTCTTACTAGCAGTACTTCTCCCTGGTTTTCTTTATCATACCCCACCCCCCATCCTTCCTGGAACATAAGAATGTCTGCCGGACTACACATTTAAAGTTCTTATAACTTCTTCTTGTCTAGACTTTTATGATATCAAATAAAGAAAGATCACTTAACAGAAGTGATGATGTAGATTATATATTCCATCTTGAATATTTCTTAAGTTTCTTGTAAAACTATTTCATTTCTTTTTTCCATAAGCTGAAACGTCTAGATACTAAAATTACCTTGAAAAATGAAAAAAAAAAAATACCAGGTAGCATATAGTGACTTATATTCAATCTTTCATAAAATCCCTATAGAAACTAGTTCATAAACCTTAATGGTTCCCTAAGCCATAAGTTACCCCTGCAATGGATGAATATAGCACTCTAGAACTCTAATCCGGGGAGAAACACTCCTTATTTTAGCCAGCCTTTTTTTTTTTTTTTTTTTTTTTAAGATTTTATTTATTTATTTGACAGAGATCACAAGTAGGCAGAGAGTCAGGCAGAGAGAGAGAGGAGGAAGCAGTCTCCCTGCGGAGCAGAGAGCCCGATGCGGGGCTCCATCCCAGGACCCTGGGATCATGACCTGAGCCGAAGGCAGAGGCTTTAACCCACTGAGCCACCCAGGTGCCCCTTAGCCAGCCTTTTTACAAAGATCATGGGCACCGCTGCCCAGAGCATAGGACGATGGTGGGAACTGCTATATTCTTCATAGGTGAGAAGAATGCCATGCACCCTTGAGTATTGAGATCCAGAAAAGGGGAGGGCCATGCTGCCATGACTCTGTTCACCAGGGTGTCCATGCCTGGGCCTTGTGCAAGTGCATCTCCTCACTGTTCAGGGAAGAAGGAGAAACTTTTTCCTTGGAAGGGCTCAGCTGGAAGGCAGAGGGGATGGTGTTGCAATGGTGCTCCAACACCCTCCGGGCAGGGAAAAGAGCCCAGATCTTTTTCTTAGACCACTGTCACATCTGATGGGGCCTCTGATAATGAATGCATCATTGAAGCACAACTTTTTCTCTAATAAAAATGTTACTCCAATTCTCTATATATCTCAAATTGGAATATATAATTTCATAACATTTACTTGTTCCACATGGAATGAGACACCAAAATGCCTTCATATTCAAACATGTGGAAACCTGATGGGGACAGAAATGTTTAGCCTCCTTCCATTAATTTGGGGGGAGGATGCTTCTCAGTTAGAACTATATGCCTAGGGTGCCTTGTTTTGAGAAACAGCCATGTAACGTGTTCTCACCAATAGAATATATGTGTAAGTGATGTTTGCTACAACCAAACTGGACTTTTCAGAAGTGGATGGTGTATGTCCTCTCCACTGTCTCTCTCTCCTTGCAAGGAGTCCAGCCCTTGGCAGACTGCAGAGCTGTAGGCGAGAGAAAGCCATCTGGCAAGCATCGCTCCCAGTATTAGATTATTAAATGACTGCATCAGGTTGCTACTGCTATGTAACAAATTGCTACAAACTTAGCTGCTTCAAACAACATCCACTTATTAAC